TCAGCCAAGGATGCACAGCCCAGTTCCTTCTCCATTGCCTTCTGCAGCTTTCCTGCCTCCAGTCCTGTACTTGCAATGAGCACCCTGCCTGCTCTGCCCTTCTCTCCTCTTCAGGAGCCAATCTGTAACCACCCATGCATTTGCAAATATTTAGTAAGTGCTTGCTGTGACAGCAGGCACAGCCACAAGACAACCATGAGTCTGCTTTCAGGGAGTTTACATTCCACTAAGGCTTGCATTCCAGCCAGAGCAATAATGCCCTCAAGGAGACAAAAATTGGTTCTTGGGGGTTGGGGGAGGGGGCTGGTTAAAAAAAAAAACAAAACACTTAGATCTTACAATGGCTTGTATGCTCATCATGTATACTCCTCACCTGTCCAGCCACCCAAGCAGAAACCTGGGCATTGGCATCAATCCGAGCTGCTAGCCCTCTCTGATCTCAGGCTTCTCGTTCCCAACCTCATGATGGCCCAGACCATGAAGTCTTCCCTTATCTCCCTGAAAACTGACCCCATCAGCCTTCACTTCCCTCCCTACCCAGCCTAGATACAGAGTCCAGAGATTTGACTTCTCTCTTGCCAACACGTTAAACCCCTGTGCCCTTTTTCACCCACCCATCCAGCAAACCCCTAGGCCTGGATAAACCCCACTTAGTACTTTCCCCTGCCTGCACTCGGGTTGGTGCACCCCAGTGTAAGAAATCACTCAGCAGGACAGGACAGGACCTGCGTACACCAACGACCACCAACCTCACATGGGTTGTCCAGGCCAGAAGGTAATTGGGGATTTTGTGCACAAGTTGCTTCTTCATTCTCTGAATGATCACTCTCCTCCTTCCTTCAAACTCCTCACCACCTCTTCCTCGCTCTCAGCAGAAGACCTGGCCTCCCACTTGGCAGAAAAAATAGAAGCTCAAATTGAAATCTCCCTTAACATCCCAGTACGAACCTACATCTACATCTGTACCCATCTTCTCCTTGTTCCCGCTTTTAGATTCTGGAGAAATCATCCCTCCCCCTCTACAAGACCAGCCCCTCCACCTACACGCTTGATCCCATTCTCCCACACACACTGGCAAACATTACTTGTTCGTTATCTCCCCTATTTCCTACACCCTTGATTAGTCTTTCTCCTCCTGAGCTGCCATCAATTTTTAAACAAACTCAGGTCTCTTTCACCTTAAAACACACCTCCCCCAGCATACACATTGACCTTATCACATCATCTCTCTCCTCCCTTTCACCGAAAAACTTCCCAAAAGACCCACTGCTTCCCCATCCCTCCTGCACTCACCAGACCACTGCCATCTGACTGGCTCCATCAGTCCACATAAATTGCCCTCCCTACGGCCCCCCATAACCTCCATGCCTGCCATTACACCAAACCCCATGGTTCCATACTCATCCTGTCTGACCTGTCAGAGCATTCCCCACCATCGGCTTTCCCCACTTTCCTGAAATTCTTCCCTTGGCTTCCTTCCCGCGGTTTTCTCCCACCTCTCCAGTCACTCCTTCTCAGCCTTTGCAGGCATATCCTTCTTTACACAACCCCAGCCTGTGGGTGTGCCTCAAAGCTTCAACCTGGGCCACCTTCTCTTCACTGTCTAAATTCTTCTCCCTAGGCAAGTTTGTCTTCATCCACAGCCTCAATTATCATCTTTCTGTTGACAACTTCCCATCTTCATCTCCAGCCCAGACTTCTATGCTCTGTCCAAACCAAGCACACTAGTCAGTTTTCTGTGGCTTAACACAGAATACCTGAACCTGGGTAATTAATAAAGAAATAAAATTTATTTCTTATAGTTTTGGAGGCTGGGAAGTCCAAGGTCCAGGGGGCGCATCTGGTGAGGGCCTTCTTCTGGGTGGGCACTCTCTACAAAGTCCTGTGGCAAGGCAGGGAATCATATCATGAGAGGTTCAGCAAGAGCACATTTCCACATGCTTTCTTCCTGTCCTCATAAAGCCCCCAGTCTCCTCCCTGATGACCCACTAAACCATTAACCCATTTGATCCATGAATGAATTAATCCATTCAAGAAGACAGAGTCCTCATTATCCAATCACCTCCCAAAGGCCCCACACTTCAAATACCATAGTCTGATTTGTGACTCTTTTAACCACTGTGATGATGGGGACAAGCTTCAGTGAGTTTGGGGGGAATATTCAAACCATAGCATCCAGGTTTCCAAGTACCTACTCAAAATCTGCACTTGTTAGTCTCAAAGGCATTTCAAGATCAACATATCTAAAGTAGAACTTAGGGCTGGCCCGGTGGCGCACTGGAGAGTGTGCCACTTGGGAGTGTGGCGGCACTCCCGCCAAGGGTTCGGATCCCATGTGGAGACCGGTTCCCGCTCACTGGCTGAGCACGGTGCGGGTACAACACCGAGGGTTGCGATCCCGTTGCCGGTCCCCAGTACAGGCGCGACACCGAGGTTTGCGATCCCGTTACTGGTCAGTAAAAAAGACAAAAAAAAAGGAAAAAAAAAAATAAATAAATAAAGTAGAACTTATACTTTTCACCTCCCCCTAGGTACTGCCTACCTATTTGCACAGAAATGTCAGAGTCCAACCTGACACTCTCTTCCTTACCTCCTATGCCAACACATCTCTGTAATGATTTTGCTTCCTGATTAATTCTAGAATGCTTCCACTTCTCTCCAACTCCATTGCCACCAGCCCCCACCCCCACTATCTTCTCTGAATGCTTGCCTCCACTCTTTACCTTACCTTGTCTTCCCACGTCTCCTCATATCTGCTCCCACTCCACTCACCACTGGACGTTCATACAGTTCACATTAAAATTCAAATTTAATCCTCTCCCTCTTAGACTTATACTGTCAGTGGCTTCCAATCACTCTTAGGATGAAGAGAAAGCCCCCTAATGTGGCTGATCCTTAATGTGGTATTTGCCCTCTGCCCACCTTCTATACTGCCCATTCCCCCTGCTGTCCTTCTGGGCCCTGCTACAAAGGCCATCCCTTGCTTCTCCTTTCAGCTCTACCTTCTGCCTTAGGCCATTTGCACAGGTTCCTCCCTCTGCCTAGGACTCTTCTCTCCTAGTATCCTCTACAAATAGTTCAGGTTTCTTCACAAACATCACTTTCTCAGAGAATCCTTTCCTAACCCCCAGAAAAGAGAGATCCCTTCTGCCTGTTAAATGTTTTCACGAGAATAGCTAATACACACAGGCACACACAGAACACTATAGTTAGGAGCTCTTCTAAGAATTTCTGCTTACAACTCATTTACTCCTCATGACAACCCTATGAGGTAGAAATTATAATTACAATATTCCCATTTTACAGGTAAAGAAACTGAGGCACAGAGAAGTTATGTAACTTGCCTAAGGTCACCTAGGTTAATAAGAAGCAAACTCAGAATCTGAACCTAGGCAGTGTGGCTCCAGTGTAGCTTTTAAACACAATGTTATGCCATAAGAAAACATTATTTTTTTCCTTCCCACGCTTACCCTCTATTTGTAACAGTGTATTGTATGGCTATCTGTTTAGCATGTGCCTCCCCCATAAAACTGTAAGCTCTATAAGAGTAGAGATGTTTCATTGCCAATATAGGTGCTCAGTAAATATTTGCCAAATGGCTGAATGTAGACTCTTCCTCACCCACCACATTCAGTCACCTGGTCCTGTCCATGTTTCTTCCCGGAGCAGGAATCCCTAACCCTAGGAGGTCCAAGTATGTGCTTATCTGGGTCCTGAACTTGGTTTAAAATGTTATGTATCTGTACACATTCAGCATTTTCTAGAGCAGGGCTGGGTGGTTCATGCTGTCATCAGATTCTCAATGGGTCCTTGAGGTTAAGAACAGCTGACTCAAATATTCCCCAGCCTAGCTCATCCTCTCCCTGCCAACCTCCCTCAACAACTACAGCAGCCTCACATCTAATTTTATTCTCCATAAATCCATCCTCCATGCTTTGGTCATAGCAATCTTTTAAAAGAACAAACCCAGTTCACCCTCCTGCATAAAACCAGTTGGGGACTATCTATTGCCCTTGGAGCAAATTCCAAACTTTGCTGGTGAGGGAAGGGGCTGTTGTAGGCCCTGTCTACTTCGTCCTCGTGTGTCCTTATTTGTCCCTCTTCTCTCCAACTCTACAGCCCGGCAGCACACACTGGACTCAGTGTTTGGGTTTCCCAGCCTGTAGCAGAGTGGTTTCTCATGTCTAGACTCATGCAGTGCCCTCTGCCTGTTGTGCCAGTCCTCTACTCTGTACCTAGAAATTCCTACTCCGTCTTTAAACCTCAGCTGAGATGTCTCTTTTGGGTTAGATGCTCCTCGTCTGGGATCCCCTAGGCTGTGCCTGTCCCTAACAATGCACACCAAGCACTTAACTATACTGTAGTTGCTTGGTTACCGACTCTTTCGCCCCTGTGAGTTTTGAGGGCAACCGCCGTGTCTTACTGATCTTTTTATCCCCCCAGCCTAGTAGGGTGCTAGCCTAAAGTACGGTGCTCAGTAAGGATTTGTTCAATCAGTGAATGAATGAATAAACTCAGGACAATTCGTGCCTGGCTTCTGGGTCCTAAAAAATGTGTGAAACAAATAGATGAGTGGAAGACTGGAAGTTTGAATCTAGAGCAAGATGCAGATTAGGCAGTTCAGAGATGTGAGTCAAACACGGACGCAGACGTCAGAAAATTAACATGGAAGACAAATCCCCTCAAGGAGCAAGCCTGAAGGATTAAAAAGATGGAGTCGTTTTTGTCTTGGCCCGCCCCTGGGGCGGGTCCCGACTTGACCACGCCCTCGCTGCGCCAATGGGAGATCTTCCTGCCCTCTGAGTCTCCGCCCCTTCGCCCGCCGGAACGGGGTTGGCCACTCAAAGAAATGAAACTACATTTCCCGGCGCGCCGCGCGGCCGGGGCGAACAAGGAGCCGGAAGTGGGGCGCGCGAGGTCTAAGGGCACAAGGGAAGCGGCGGGCGGGGACTGAGGGGGGGCCCGCAGCAGGTGAGCCGACTGGTCGGGGGGTCGCGGCCATGGCCGAGGCCAGGAAGAGGCGGGAGCTGCTTCCTCTCATCTACCAGCACCTGCTGCGGGCGGGCTATGTGCGCGCGGCGCGGGAAGTGAAGGAGCAGAGCGGCCAGGTAGGCGTGCGAGGGCCGCGTGCAAGGTCTAAAGAGCGGTGGCCCGCGTCCCCACCCCAGGCGCCCTGGTGGTTGCCGGACCGGGTCCCGTGGTGTTCAGGGACGCGGGCCAGGGGTGCCGGAGGAGCCGCAACCTCTGCTTCCCCTCCCCCCGACTTCCAGCCCCCCGGGCCTCAGTGTCCCCATCTGTGCGGTGGGCGGGCCGGGACGTGTGATTTGGAAGTGCAGGGCTTTGTAATTCCCGCGCCCCTTATCTCCACCCCCTTCCTGGTAGCGGCGAGTTTAAGTTTCCCTAAGGCTTCGGCCACGTGGCTCGGCGCAGCCCCCTTGGGGCGAGGAGGTTGCTGTGGGTCTCGAGGTGGATTGCGACCAGCCCCACTGAAGAGCACCTAGAGAAGGGGCCCACAGCCTCTTAGTTGAGCTGGAACTCAGACCCTCAGCGGTCCTCTGTGCTGAGTCGGACAGCTTTGGGATTCGAGATCTTGGTGCAGTCATTTCTAACTTCATTCATTCAGCATCTGTTATTCTGGCTCTCAGGGTGCTGGTGATAGAATGGTGAGCACCTTTCCCCAGCTTCCTGGAGTTTACAGTCTAGTAGGAGAGGCAGACAAATCAAAGAATCATAAAATAACTGTCCACTTAACACTATATTAACTGCTAAGAATGAGAGGCACTGGGTGCTAAGACAGATGGTAGAGTGTGCCCTTGTCAGGGTTATCCAGGACTGCTTCCCTGAGGAAATGGCAGTTAATCTGAGATCTGAAGGAAGGGAGGTGGATTTTCCAGGCACTGGTACAAATGCCCTGTGGTGTGAGGGAGCTTGTGTACATGCTGACCTCAAGAAAGTTCACTGGCTCAAGTGTGGGGTACAAGGGCTACAGAGGTCCCCAAGGAGATGGAGGCAGGGGCTGGCTCGAGTGGTCTGTTGGGCAGTTTGGTCTTCATCTGAAGAGCAGTGGTAAACCACTGGAGGGTTTTAAGCTGGTGAGATGGATACTGACCTGATTAGTCAGTATCTCTTTGCCTGCCATGTAGGCTCTGGTCCTAATGCTTGCTTTCAGGACCTTCTGGATGGACTAAAGGGTGATGGACCCTAAGACTTTATCTATGCTTTTCCCAACCCTCTCTGGACCTCAGCTTCCCTTTTTACTCATTATGTCACTTAACAGATAAGGGGAGCAAGAGATAGTACCCATCTTCATTGGAGCATATGCCTAGGCAAAAGTATCCTGCCCTTATGGAGCATACATTCCTTCTGCAGGAGCAGAAAGATGACAAATATACAAAATAAGTTAATGACATAGTATATCCAGTGATGGTAGGTGCTAGCTATAAAAATAAGGCAGGCAAGGGGGTTAAGGAATGTCAGGATTCCATTATAAATAGGGTGGTCAGAAAAGCCTCATTGAGAAGGTGACGTTTGGGCAGAGACCTGAAGGAAATGAGGGCGTGAGCTTTGTAGTTAGCAGGGAAGAGAACATTTCAGACAGCAACAATAGCAAGGCCCTGTTGGGGGTAGCGTGGCCTGATAATATTTGAGGACAGTGAGGAGGCCACTGTACCTGGGTGGAGCAGAGTGAAACTGACACTTGAAATTTCAGTGTTATTGGCTCGCTGTGCTGGGCACTGATGTAGATTGTGTCATTAAGACCCACTGACAACCTACAAGTTGGGTATTACTGTTATACCCCTCCTATAGAGAAGGTACCTGAAGTTTGAAGAGGTGAAAAGGTTAGTCCAGCCAGTTACCAGAGCAGTTCTGCCTGACTCCAGGTGCATCCTCTTGGCCACTTTGCCCGGGTTCCTGACACCATCCACCCTTGTCCCACTCTGCTCAGCCTCCTTGGAGCATTTGACACCCCCGATTCTTGACATTTTCGGAGAGAGTAGGCCCTCAGGCCTCAGCTCCAAAGGCCTGGATTCCACCTGGCTCCTTCTGCTTCTACCAAGAGGCTGGCACCATTTGGGCCCAGTCTCTTCCCAGCAGACAAGTGGACTGCAGTCATGTCACCTGAGTGCCTCGGGTGTCTGGGCTATGGTTTGTGCTTTAAGGAGAATGACTGTCCAGGCCTTTGAAAGTCTTTTAAAGGTCAGGGGTGGGGAAAGCCCTGTCTCATGGCCTCTGAGCATGGATAACGCCAGGGAGGCTGGGGGGTGGATAAATGCTAGCTTGGAACATTCCAACTCCAGCTTCTGAAAAGGTGCCTCTCACCAACATGTTGTCTTAAAAGGTTTTACCTGGAATTACTTGCCCTTCCTGTCTCTGGAATGTTTTGGATGTTACTGGCAGGGCCAAGCAGACATACTCCCAGAGCAAAAAGACCCTCTTCTGAACTGCCTGTCTGTGCAAGTCATGAGGTCAGGGGGCACTGGGCTCAAGGAGGACCCTAACTGAGCTGGGGGGTTAATTGCGGCTCTCTTTACTTCTCTGCAGAAATGTTTCCTGGCTCAGCCTGTAACCCTTCTGGACATCTATACACACTGGCAACAGTAAGTTTGGTGGGGCTGAAGGGGTAGAGTAGGGACACCCCAAGCAATCTGCTTGGAATAAGCTAGGTTACACATCTGGTCTAAAATCTGACCCCATTGCCCACTGTGGACACCATTGTTGCCCCCAGAAAGCTGGGTCACACCACACATGAGTATTTCTGAGTGGGTGTCTGGTGGTGGTAGAGGACATTGGGAGCTGTGATCTCTTAAGAACAAAAGCTTCTTCATTCTTTGAGCTTGTAAGAAAAAAAAAAAAAAAAAAAAGCTTCTCACTGGCCTGTTAGTACTCAATCAATAAACATTTATTGAGCATCTACTGAATGCCTGTTCTAGGTATGGAGATGTTGTCATGAGTGAGACAGACATGGTCCCTTCTTTCCTGCATCTGACATTGTAGTCAAGGAGGTAGGCATGAGTCAAAGAATGAAATGAATGTACAATTACGTGGTAGTAAGGATTATAAAAGAGAGGTACCTGCTGCCACAACCACATAAATGGGTAAGCCTGGCCTTATTTGGGGGTTGAGGGGAAGCTTCCCTGAGGTGACCTTTGACTTGAGAGGTGCAGGAAGTGGGGAGTGAACTAGGCAATAGGTATAGAGAGGCAGATGGAGTGTACCTGACAGTGGGGCCAGTACAGATGAGGCTGGGCAGTTGGCAGGGCCCACCCCATACAAGACTGGTCATCCGTGGTGAGAAATGTGTCTGTACCCACGAGCAATGGGAGCCATGGAAGGGGGAAGCAGAGAGTGAGGAGATCACTCTGCACATGGCAAGGCTGGTCAGGGCTGTGGACATCATCATCCTGGCAAGAGCTGATAGGGCTTGCAGCAGGGATACCAGAGGAGGTTCCAGGAATATTAGGGATGAATCCAGGATCTGTGGATGGGTTGGAGAGGAAGTGTCTGCTGGTTGACAGGTTTGACTTGCACTCCTGGATGGAAGGTGGGTCCATGCTTGGATGGAAAGAGTTCAATGACATGTTGAGTATAGAATGCCTATAAAACATGTAAAACTTACATACTTTTTTTTTTAAAGATGACCGGTAAGGGGATCTTAACCCTTGACGTGGTGTTGTCAGCACCACGCTCTCCCAAGTGAGCAAACCGGCCATCCCTATGTAGGGATCTGAACCCGTGGCCTTGGTGTTATCAGCACCACACTCTCCCAAGTGAGCTATGGGCCGGCCCTAAAACTTACATACTTTTCAAGGAAGGGGGAATAACCCAAGGGTGCATCAACGGAGGAACAGTTGGAGAATGAAGGAAGGGATAATCATGTTCTCTCCACGCACTGGCCTAACTTCAGCCGACAAGGGGAGTGAAGGACCTGTAGATATGTCCCATGAGGAATGGCAGAGAATACTGAACTGTCCAGGAGGGTAAAGGGGTGGGTGAGGGACAATTGTCTGCACATTTTTGAGGACTGAAAGAGTAGCATGTTCTCTGAGGCTCTGGGAGACAGAATTGGACCCCAGATGTACCTGCTTTGGAAAGACAGGTTTCAGCACTTGATCGTCAGAACTTTCGAAAAACAAAGTAGGCTACAGTGGGAGTGTGAGCCCCTGTCATCAGGTGTGTAAACAAAGGCTGAAATGGTGCAGAAGGGATCCCAGCATCTAGTGGAGAGCTAAGGTCATTAAAACCCCTGCCAGCTCTTAGTCCTCAGCTCTCCTCTGCTGCTAAGTTGAGCTCAGAGCACAGAGCACACCCCATACTTCCTCGTCCTCTCCTACTTGCCCCAGTGTGTGGATGTTTCTTATAGCACTTCCTTCCCCAGAAGACCACTTCAGTGAGCCACACTGCATGCCGTTTCCTGCCTCTGGCCCTTTCTGGGGGTGGGGGTACTTAGCGGAAGGAGGACCTCACCCACCAGAAGCAGCCTGGCTTATTAGTTACCTGCAAAGTTCAAACCCAGCAACTAGCTGTATGACCTTGAGCAAGTTTCATGGCCTCCCCGAGTCTATGTCTTCATCTGTAGTAATTATCTCATTGCATTGTGAGGATTAAAGCCAGTAGTATATATAAAGTGCTAAAACTGGCCGTTGGCAGCTTTTCCCCCCAGTATTATTGAGCACCTACTACAAGCCAGGCACTATTCTTGATATAGCTGGGGACAAACCAGAGAAACATCACTGCTCTTGTGGAACTCACATTCTCTTGGGAGGAGTGAGGCAGAATAAATTGATACATGTGATAGATGAAACCTGTTTTTAGCAGGAGATTCCTGACAAGTGGCCTTCCAGGGAATGAGGAACCCGAGCAGCACATCCCAGACTGTGGCAGAGCAGTGTCCAACCCAGCTGGAAAACATGGGGCATAGACCGTGACTCACTGGGGGTGAGAGGGTGGGGTCAAAGGAGGTGATACTTGAAAATTCAAGGGACTCAGGCATCTGGGTATTTATCCTACCCATGCCCCAAATTTACCCAGTGACCCTGCACAAGTCACTTAGTTGTTCATTTCTTGTGGAATGTGCTAGACACTGAGGATACCGTAGTGAGCTGCCAGCTCTCCTTCCTCTCCCCAGGCCTTTCTGTGTGGGAAAGCCAGGCAGGAAGTGAGTAACACGACAGGAGATAGAGATGAGTGCTCTAGGAAAATGAAATGGGATGATGGCAGAGAGTGCCTGGGGAGGGGTGATTAGCCGGGCCCTCTCTGCGGAGGCTAAATGAGAGTTGAGACAGAAGGACAAGAAGGACCAGGGTGCAGTCTTCCAGGAGGAGAGCACAGCATGAGCAGCAAGTTCTGGAGGAGGAGGATGAGGAGGAGTCTCAGTGGTTCTGTGAAGTGCCTACATGCACCAGCACCTGTCACTTAATGGCTGTTAGCTGCTATTATCATATAACATTATTGACCATTCTTGACTATATTAAAAACTAACTGAGAATTGTTAAGACATTTTATAAAATGAGTGAAAATGCAGGATGCAAAATTGTATCTACACTTTGTTTTCATCGCTGTTTAAACTCTCTTTATACATATTTCCTTTGGGGGCTGAGAGGACATGGGAAAGTCTGTCTATTTAAATCTCATGGAGTACTCTTGTCCTGCAGAACCTCAGAACTTGGCCAGAAGCGAAAAGCAGAGGACGATGCAGCACTGCAAGCCAAGAAGACCCGTGTGTCGGACCCCACTAGCAGCTCAGAGAGCTCGGAAGAGGAGGAGGAGGCAGAAGCTGAAATCTCCAAAGCCAGTAAGGGCCCTGCACCTTTGGGAACAGACTGTGGGATATTGGGTTGTTCCAGGATAGAGTCCACCTCCACTGTCTTCTTTAGCAAGCCCTGGGAAGACCAGGAGCTTTTAGGGGGAAGATTGAGAGGGCACCACATATCTATTGCTGTGTTTATTTGAGCCCTTCTTTGGCACCAGACACTGTCTACCCAGGCTCTGGGGATCCAAGAATGAACCAAAAAAAACCCAGATGGGTCCTTACAGTCTTGTTTGGTGTACATACTTGGGGCCCAGGAACTCCATTTTTACAAGTTTCCAGGTGATTCTGATTAAGATAGATAGACACCAAGGTCAAGGGTTCGGATCCCTGTACCAGCCAGCCACCAAAAAACAAAAAAAAAGATGGAAAGAAGACCATATTTTCATAAGTCCTGGTAGAGAGATTTCAGAAAGCACCTGGCAGACCCCTCTTCTTTGTGGCCTATGGACTGCTTCAAGAGTTGCTGTCTCCCTGTTATTTTGGAAGTGTGCACATTAGCAATGGGAGGTCCTACAGGGCAATCTGGTTTCAGAGCGTTGGTGGAGGTAGCCCAGTGAAGCCATTACAGCCCCTTCTCTGAGTTCCTGGGGCTCCTTGTGTTTTACCCAGCAGTAGCCATAGCTCCGCAGAGGAATTGCTGTGTCTCCTATACATCATATTATTGTTATTTTTTGCTTACTTAGAAGGCAATTTCTTGATTTTTAAATAAATTTTCTTTTCTTTTTTGGCATCTGGCCAGCATAGGGATCAAACCCCAGATCTTAGTGTTGTCAGTGCCACACTCTAACCAACTGAGCTAACTGGCCAGCTACATTTTCTAATTATAAAAGAAATATAGGGGGCCGGCCCGGTGGCGCACTGGATAAGTGCGCCACTTGGGAAGCGCGGCGGCGCTCCTGCCCGAGGGTTTGGATCCCACATACAGACCGGTTCCCGCTCACTGGCTGAGCGAGGCGCGGGAGCAAC